CATCTTTATGTACCCTTTCTGCAAAGTTATGCCATGCAATTCAAGAAATTCAACGCTGTAAGTGTGACTGGTGTTTCCGAAATCTATTTGTTATTCATCGTGAGCATTTTCGTTGAAGGCAACTTCGATTTAGCGAAGAAAGTACTCACTGCATTAAGAAACCTAAAACAGGAACAACGGACCTTCTCGAACAGTTTTTCTGTCACGATAATCTCCATGCCCACAGGGAATTGTCAGAGCTTTCTTGCGAACATAAAGCACACACACTCTTTCTGTACGAAGTGATTACACGCTATCTGTCAGCATGATTCACACCCGTCCCTATATGAAATCTATTCGTATCGTTGATTTAAGTAGTCAATGAAAATTCAAAAAACTATTCGTCACATACAGATAGACAGGCAGGGAATATTTATTGCTTCTTGATCAATAATCGATAATCCAGTCAAGATGAAATACCAATTATAATGACGAGAGAACTTACTACGTATAGGATTTCATTGTGAACAAAGAAGATTTCACTGAGGACAGCGATGGTGAAGTAACACAGCTAAGGTCAAGGTCTCTCAAAATGTCACCTCTAGGAACCGATTAGATAAAGGGAATGCTATGAAATGTCCATCCAAATTAAGCCATGTCTCCATGTTTGAACTTGGATAGCGAAAATACAGAGTTTTACTCGTATACTAGGTAGGTTTTCTGAAAATCTCTGCTATTAGGTAGGTTTACGGCCTAATCTTGATAACGTCGATTTGTCGAAGAAAGTACCCATCCAATTCTCTAACCTAAGCACGAATAACAAACCTTCTCGGACAGATTTTCTGTCACGATGATCTGTGCATCTGTACCCACACAAAAGCACATCAATAGTGGCTGCATATTCCTCTACATACATTGTTACTCCAACTCGCTGTTCATGGGAATTGACTAAATTTGATATTGGAAAACGATAACATTCAAGACTTGTAAGTATGTCGCAGATTATACAAGCCTTCACAAATCCACTCACGCTTATTCTGAATTTCTAACTGAAATTCATTTCACTCAGCGGAACCAAGTGACTGTCGGTAATATATACTGAAAAGTCGATTTACATTCACTTCGGATGTTCGAGTTGTTCATATTGATAGGATTTGATTCATAATAATTTTCCAACTGTGAGACATTCATTGAAAACCAGGAAGGACAAGGGATTTGGTTTCACTCTAGTATTGCATTCCACTACAAGCATCTGACAACAGTGGAAACTGAGCGATGATGAGTGACCTGATTTTCACCTGATGAATATATCGTAGTGCATGGAAGGACGAGTTGTGATGGTGTTTTACATTGTCGTTCATGCAAGAGATGACACTTCATGGACGTCTATTGAGGAATTATATTGTCACAGATTTTTAGTTTTTCTGTTTTCTTCACCAGTATTGTCATTATCATAAATGTTTTTTCTTTCATTAACCTAGATAAATTCTACTAGATTTTGACCAATTATTACCTTTATCTTTACTTTTTTTAAGTTATATTTAATTTTGAAATATTGTTTTCAGTATTTATTTTATATCAGTTTGCATGTGAAATTATTTTCTGTCAAAGAATAGTGGATTATTGAAAACCTTTCTTGCCACCCAGTTTATTCCCATCCATCAGTGTGCACCCAACACTCCTTTTGGGATAAAAAAAGGAAATCTTATAAATGAGTTCAGTCCTTCAACTGATCAGACACTACATCAGTTCAAATTCTTTCATTATTCAATTGAAATTCTCACTGATTCGTCATATAACTACCGCCAGCCACAGTGATATCTGACCATCCGTCTAACTGTGACAGGGTGGATGCAACTGATCACAAATTTTTGTTAAAATATCAGGACGTCTATCCATCAGTCACTGATACCGTTACACTACATGGTTGCTTACTGTGGTACAAATTCGATACAGTATGAACACTCACCATTTTCCAATAGCTAAATTCTGTTTGAAATTCATTTCACTGTATATTTTCAAATGATTGAAGGTATCAGGTTTTTCAAGGAGGATTGTGAAGCGTAAAATATACAGACTAACTAATTTCCACTCTGTTCAGGTGTTCGAATTGTTTTCATTATCCATTCACTTACAGGTCGAATTCAATAATGGAAGTATTGAAAACTGGGTGGTGCTGGATACAGCTGCTTTGTCATAGTTTGATGATCTTCAGAAGAGACTGTCAACAAATCACATCTAAATGTATGTTTCACTTCTATAGAGCATTTCTGGGTTATTCATGTTATTTCACTAATCTTTTGGGATGCCCTGTGAGTACAAAACTTACATAGACCATAGTTTGCTTGAAATTCATTCGAAGAATTTTAATTTGTATTTTTGAAATTAATTAATGCGGCATTCTTCTTTGCTGTGTTTCTTCACTTATTATTTGTCGAGTCTTATAGACGAGTATTTCTTTTCATCGTGACACTTATTTGACTTTGTAGTATTATTGTCTTTTGTCATTTGATTGTGAACAGGGTTCTAGCGAAATCAGTCAACTTCTTTGTTTTTTGACATTTTTACGTGACTGAGTTATTTGTCCTACAGGGCCATCATGAAATAACAAATAACCGATCATGTAATACCTTCCTAGAATAGATCACAGTGGTATACCTGAGTGAACAAAGCATGACAAGTAACATTACAAAATCGGTCACTGAATTGCATCTGAGCATCAAAACACGGATGACCAACCTGACTATCATGTGATACAATGCACTACTATGAATATGCTAAGTTCAAATCAGCGTCTTTATTGTTGAGAGTCCAGCGATAACTGTTATATATATCCTCCTGTCGTTAAAATTTTCATTCCATCTTCCTTGAATCCTTCATTATTCATGATGAAATGCAGAATATTCTCCCTGTCTCTCTCTCTTTGTGGCAAATATTTGCTTAGAAATATATTGACTACTTAAATACTTGTTATAAGTAGATTACATGTGGAGACGGTTGTGAATTATTGTTAAGGGTGGCGTGTAATCACTCCCGTTCTATAGAAGGAATGGGTATGTGATTTCTCTGCAGGAGTGAATAAAATTGCAAAGTAGAATTTTAAATTTTTGTTTTTAGACTTTAGTCCAGGCTCAACTGATAGCTTTTGCCCTAGTGCATCAATCCACCACCTCTGTCGCCTGAATATGAGGTCAGTGATCACTTCAAAAAGAGACGGTGAAATAATAAAGATCGAGCTCATGTGATGCTGTCACATTATTATTTTTTGCCGTGATCATGTTAACTAATATGAAGAACTGCATAGTATTTCACAATTGGTAGTTATACAATTAAGAATATCTGATTTTATATTTTAATTACTATTTGATCTGGTGTAACATTTAACCATCTACAGATTTTCAGAAATGCGAAAGGATGCGAAAAAATCATGTAACAAATTGATGAACACTTCTTGACAAATGATATAGATGCAGACCTCAGACTCAAGGAAATAAATTGAATATGGCCAGGATGATCACTGACATATATCCTACATGTTTTCAGATTGAGACGAAAAATACAAAACTCCTAAACTTTAACACAGACTGCAAACCACTTTTCCAATCACACACGTAACAATTTATTATAGTCCAGGTCTTGAAAAATGAGTCAACCTTTTACTAAGATGTCATAGTTTGATGACACATGATACAGGGCCCATTACAGATGATTATGTCCTTATGCAAATCATTATAAAAATTGAATTAAATAAAGTGATACGGATGCGGGGGAATACCTGAATGAATCTCATGTGAAGTGAACCGACGTGGTTATTTATGAAGTGACTAGGATTGCTCAGCACGTTTCTGCACGTATTATACTGAGAGGAATTCTAACACTTAATCCAAACTCATATTGATCTGGATGTTGTGATAGGTGCGCAGTGTGAAGCAACTGATGTGTGCAGATTGCGTGTTTGAATTCACGCAGAATACTTCCACTAGTTTTTATTTAAACGAATGTTAATGACTTGTAATCAAATCGGTCAAATTTGTGAGTACCATGGTATTCAATAATTAAATTCACCTGTCGAAAATAGTGGTGCAGCCTTTTGTTTAATCTCCAGAGTGTTACCTCTGGAGTGCGCTGTTATAACGGTATAAAATTTTGGTTTGTTCTACTGTCTCTTCAACAGTGCAACGCTGTACGATTGGTGAAGTGAAAACTGTTGCCACACTGAGATGGACAGAAAAGACACCTTAAGAGGAGGTGGCTTTACTTCTCCAAGCAAAAAGAGATATCGCTAGAAATTACACATATTTATACAGTCACAATGTATGAAAAAAACCACGTGGTTCCGTGAAGTGACTGTTTTTGACGAATTCATTTTTCTTAGATGTCCAGTAGCATTTGTATACAATTTTACATAAAAGAGGGTAGTAAAAAGAGTCAGGAGTTGTCAAAAACATAGTCGATAATATTGATCGGTGCATAAAATGTTCGATAACACAAAATGGGGAACATAATATATCTTCAAAGATGTGACATTGCATAATTTACGACTCTTATTCGTTGAAGGGGTTTCAACATTTCCAAGATAATGTTTCAATCAAATCGTCAGAGAGAATTATGAAGATAACTTTCTACTAAGATTTCATTTTATCTCTTTGAGACATCCCTTAAAACTAACTACACACCACATCAGATCTCAATTCATCACAAGATCTCCACATGTTGGAGATCAGATTGTTTTCTTAGTAGTGTTCGAACCATTCATGATCTTGAACACACCACCATAAAAACACATTCACATGAACACAGCTAAATTAACCCTGATATCACTAGTTTTTTCTTTCTTCACATATTAAGTCTAGTTACGTCTGCCCCTTTTCATCAAATGGTTCAAAGTACTATGTTATCAGTCTTGATTAGAAGTACAACTGGAGTAGGCATGTAACGACTTGGTTGTGCTCATAAATAAAAAACAAAACTATGATGTGAATTAAAACCTTTGTTAAGAATTATTAAAAAATTCACCATGAATGTTGAAAAAATACACTGAGGATCAAAGATTAGAGAATGAAATGGATATATTTAGACATTCACTGGTCATTTATCTAAGCGGGTTTCATATCGTCTGGTGTTGGGTGGTTAGTCCTTCTCAGGTAAGCAGTTCACTCAGCATGACATGCCAGTGATCTAATTTTCTTGTGATTATTCAGAATCTCATTAACTCCATTATTCATGTAACCGTATGTCTACTAACTATATGATCCGATTGTTTCTGACATGTTTTAGTCTTTGCGAGTCCTGCAGAGTGGTCGTTTTGTAAAACGAAAATGTCGCCTTTTTCTTCAAAATATCTAGTTGTTTTTTCTGTGTTTATCTTACTGGCATGCCATTTATTAAATCACAGTAACACAAAGTGGAGCACAGATGAAGTTAAAAACATTTCACACTGCTTAACACAATTTGCACTGTTCGTATTCCAAAAGTTCTATTGTATTCCGTCAGTAATGTAAATCATGAATATATAGAACGTGTGAGTAGCTTTTTATGAGGAAGTATCAGGCTGATTGTGACATATTGAAATATTTGAATTGTACCAGTAGTTGACGTGTTTCTGTGTGTATCCCACACCGAAATTATTGAATTTAACATGTATGTGAATATTATTTCTTGTTTAATATGGATGCATGTCGGTGTTCTGTAGGAAGTCAAATTTATGAACACGTCACTTACACCTGTAAACAAACTTTTTGCACTAAACGTTGATACCGAAAAAGTTAACCTAAAAATTTAATAAATAATCTCAGTGAGAAGCATCTCAACTTTATTACCTATTTATGTTGGTATAGGCGATCGCTTATTCTTGTCAGGAATGTGATTCATAATTGATGGTTATTTTATTTTTCAGGTGGGCGAAATGGTTGATATAGATTGGCGCTTTTATACTGTAATGACTAGCTTGTAAGTCCTGCTTTCTGCAACATTTCACATAGACATTATGAGCAGCACATCATTTTCAATACGGTTATGTGGACTGATGATTATAATCACAGGAATCAACCCACTAGTCAATGACAGAAAACTGGAGGCATGCACTCAAGCCAACTACTGACTCAAATGATACACCTGGATTTGGATAGTTTTCTGTTTACGTATTCGTCCTTTTTTGTATGATGTGTGCTGGTCGTTAAGATTCACATACTCTTGCATTAGGCCTATGGATATGCTACGACTGATAAACTGACAGAAATTACGCAGAAGAATTATTACTTCCTGGAATGTTTTCAGTGAGGTTCAGTTCCTTACGTTCGATGATTTTAGCATCAACACCTCAAAGCCAGTTTAGACTCCATATTTAACTTCAAATTTACGTCGAATGGATATTTCGGAAATTGTCATGAACGTCGTCTGCTATTTATTACCACATTTATATTGATTGTCTGTCTCAGCAGTCTTCTTACAATTCGAAACACTTGTATTAATTTGGTTCATTTCAGGGATTTGATATCTGATCCTAATGCCGTGTGAATTCGTTATTCGTCGTTAAATATTATCCGCTTTGATACGTCTGCTGAGTGAAGTGTGATAGGGGCATTGCTCTTTCGGGAAGAAAACAATGTATCACCGATGTTTCAAAAAAGGAACCCTTAAGTCTTGTTTCTTTATTGGGTATTAGGAGGCGAACACTAAATATATTGGATAGGAAATAATTAATCCCACTAATAATTGACGTATACTTCACGAAAAGGGTGTGGAGGATTTGCTGTATGAGCAGTAGTTTCTGTTACAAAATGCATTCATTTGATAATAATAATAATGCTCTTTCTCTTTGTGATGACAAAATATGATATGTAGACACATACTCCTACAGTATCTAATATGTCCACACACATGTCACTTGGTTTCGTTTCTGAATATTGATTGAGTCTTTTCTCTAATTGTGTTTCAGAGTTCTGATTGTGCCACTCATCGTATTGTCGTCCTTCAGATTTAGAACCAATCCATTATTTGCACTGATCCTGATTGAAATAACAGTAAGTAATGAAGAGCATCCCAATTATGAGTTGACTTCATTTACTCATTATCATTTCGTATTTGTTTTGCCATTCACATGGCTGGAAGTAGATGAACTGATTTCTACAAAACAATAGGAAGACATAATGCAGTGTATCTTGAACATTCTCATTACAAAAGCTGACAGATTCCTTATAATCGATTGTAACTAACTCTAGGCCTCAAGAATGGATGGCATCAAGATTACAGTTAACTGGTGAAAATATTACTGAGCAGAACTAACATAATTTGTCGAAATGGATTACCAGGAGAGATTTCAATCAGTGCGTCATCTTTGAAAGCATAAACCAGATGGAGGCCTTCAAATGTCAAGCGCTTCAGCGAAAAGGTGTACATAGTAAAACCTCTTTTACACTCTGCATCTAAAAGCACTATTGAAAACAACTTTATGGCCTTGTTTTCGTGATGAGCTTAGTGATAGATGACTTTGAATTATTTGGGTTCGGTGATGCCAGTTGTTCTAGCTATTTAAAAGTAGACCGATGGATCTTCCATATCTCGGTGTGATCACACTGAACTGAAAATCGATAAACACAAGAGGATGCAGTATTATGATTCCAATGCTAAGCGGGTTTATGGGGCGATATAAATCTTGTTTTCGTAAATAAACCTAGATCCAGAACAAGACTTATTGTAAATCCACCCTGCAGGTTGCTATGGAACTCTGAGATGCAAGAGTTCTTTCGTGGCTGTAGTTACGCAATTAAATCGAAATCGCAATTATCAAATTATTGTGGTGAAATGTCACGAAAGTCTCTTCCGGAAACTGAGATTTTTCGGATCACAATATCTTATCCACTTATTACTGTGAAGGTGAGTATTTGTATACCACTCAAATCAGCCAGCAGTGACTCCTAGCCAGATCGAAAGGATCCGACTCTGTTGTTTATTTAGGAACAAGCTATCCAGCGATGTACACCAGCTCATGTGTTTTTACGCCTGTGTATCAAACTTTGATGTTATATCACGAGATAATGGAATCACATTACAAGTGTACGCAAAAGTTTAATAATTTCTATTGATTCACTGAAAACATTCACTTTATTTTCCAAACAGATTCTACTATGGTCTTTGGATATCATATTGATGTGTTGCACTACGTTCGACTACTCATGTTATCTCTTAATTGGCTTCATTTTTCTGCAAGACGCATTCCCAATCATCTATTACTTCGTAAATAAAAAATTGAAACGAGAAGTAGAGCTCACAATGTTGTCAATATTATTGACTTGCTTTATAGCTGTTTTAAATATCTTTTCCCTGAAACCGAATAAAGTAAGTAAAATTGGAATGTTAAGTAAAATGATGCATTTTGAAATTTATCCCCGTAACTTCCTGATTTATTGAAGTGTTATTTTTTCCCACAAGAAATTCCAGTTATGTGCTAATCTCTGTAAATTTATGGTTAAACGCGTTCACATCAACACGCAAGAAGGAAGCAAATAAGCATATTGATCCAGGGATTCGATAATTACAGTACATTAACTTGTTTGTTGGACAGTATGTAAAAACCATTATTTATGTGAAAACATTCTATTACCTGACTGTAGGAGTTATGAAGCTGATATTTATATGAAAAGAAGCGATTTCTTGATTCATGATTTGTTTAACTGATAGCTTTTGAAGTTTCATTTCATTCGGCTTTATTTTATCCAATTATAACAATCTGAATTATGCATTTATTCTGTTAGAACCCGTGATCGAAGTTCTAACTGCATTTCACCTTTACATATTTCAGCGTCTTTTGTTTGAGTTGGCTGGCTGCTTCTGGAACACTTCTGTAGTTTCGGTAAGTTCACTGTCATGTTTTGAATTTATAAAAATGTCTACAGAATCGGTTTCAGTGGTGAATGCAGTGAGATACAAAAATATTTTACATCATGAACAATTTGTAAAAGCAATGTTTGTTTTGACGAAGCTTTATGCTCCACAGAAATGTATAAATGTGTGAATAACATTTCAGATAGAATTCACTGTTCATTTGATTCATTATTATAGATCATGAATCGTTGTTCATTCACTAAATCGAAACCCTACAAACAAGTAATTAAAAATCGAATCATTCATGTTTTCCTGTTTGTGACTGTTTTTATTCTAGGCGGCATTTGTCTTCATTAGCTTACTCAAGTAAAACTGGATATCGATTGGATTTGTCACGCTGAGTTAGGCGATTCTGACTGTGATTTATGTGTTTTGCTAATGTATACACCTCATCACGCATGTTAACTTTCGGATGTACGACCGTTCATATTCCAAATTTTTTCAAATAAATTAATCTTTTTGAAGTAGATCTTCGACTTATCCTTTTTTACTAGAAGTTCTTTTAGAATAATGCGTCTTTTTTGAAATCTTGGTTGAGTGAATATAAGTAGTGGATAGACTTGAGATTATTTTCAAATGTGTATTCATCCTCAGTGTTGTCAAGCATTATCAACAGATGACTTTTAAATAAATTGAATGCAAAAAGTGGTGTGTGACGATTATTGCAGTGAGCATTTCTGTGAAGAATTCTTGGGTCTGACGGTGTGGTAGTTTTGAATAAATATGATCTGTTTGAATATTTTTCATGGCACTTTGTGAATAATTTGTGGATAATAATCGTTTAAGGAACACACTACTGCAAGAAGCGTAATAATGGTCTAAGAAAATGGCGTTTCTGCAAATCTAACTTATTTCACTATGTAGCTGATTGGTTTGTTGGCGTACTATGATCTTTATTAATTTGATGAATGTTAATAGTGGGTCACATGAAGATTCATTAGAGTCGTCCATTCACGGAGGATGATGACTGAAATTTTCAAATGTAAGTCTATTTAACGGAAACTTTCCAGACGCCTTGAATATACCCCCATAGGTCAGCAGGTTTAAATTTCGTGTAATATACTCAAAAATCTGATGGTATTCACGTACGATTTGATGATGATGGTGATGATTCAAGAGGAATTCTAACTAACCAGCTCATCATTTCTTGCAATGAGGAGTGGTCTCTGAACTCAGTTCTGGTAAATTAATTACGATTATGCTGTAAAAGGTGCTTCAAAATAATCATGAGTATTTCGATTTCTAACTAGTAACTGTTCAGGACAATGTAGAGAGTAAAATTAAGAGAAGTGTCTGAGTTTTGTGAGAAGATATACAAAGCTCAATAAGAATGACAACACCATTACTGGCTTTATTGCTGCCCCTCAGGTCAAGTGATAAGAAATAATGCATATATATGCAGATGAATTATGAAAGGTTTTGTTATGCCCTGATGCGATTATAAGCAATTCATCATGTTTGAAACGCAAAGAACAAATAATACTAAAGCACTGTTTGCTTTCACAAAATAAATTTATTGTGATGGGAAATTACAGGCAGTTCAGACTTGTAGGCATTATTCAACCAGACAATTTGTGTTACATGAGTTTTATCTTCTAATTTATTTTAAATTTTTTCTATGCTGTTTTTTTTAATTTTTTAATTTTTTTATTTTTTTGATTACAGTTTGATTCCACACCGTATTTTTGGAACAAGTATGGAATTTTCAGCGTGGATATCGGTAGCCCAAATTTTGCAGGCCGACCATAGATATCATGTGTGCGTCGGCGTGGGCTCGAATCCCGGACCATATGCATGGTCGGCGAGAGTCCTAACCACTGTGCCACCGACGCTGTTTGTTTGTACCCACTAATATTATTAGTTATAAAATTCATTACACAATGAATACACACACACACTGGGTAGCCCTAATTTCATGTTAAACTTGTTGTTATTAAAAAATATGTGCGTGAGATACAGTCGTGACTATGAAATTTAATTTATCTACTGTTGGACTTTGCATCTTCACTCTATGAGACGATAAATTTGTTGACTTTGCGCATAAAATCAGAATTTACTGTAACCACTTATATTTATTGACAAACATATTGAGTAAATTGAAAGTACAGAGTTTAAAATCACTGAATTTAACGAGCTTCATGAGCCTTATGGATAAGTCGAGAGTAATGAAGTGAACAAAAACAAACTGAGTGTCTTCATTTTAATCAACTTAAAACAAAGCTACAATTGATTTTAGAACATATTGTATTAGGCGTGTAGCAAAGTCCCTATGTTCATGATAAATATGGTGCGAAAAACATGCAATCATTTTATCGTGTATTTTGTGGATTAGTTACTATATTGAAATAATAGTAGAACTGATTTGACTGTATCTCTAATTCTTTCATTGAGTGATACATGACTCATGTGAATTTCTGTGATTCAGGAGAATACTCAAATCTCATTATTCATCCAAATAAGTAACTTGTTAGTATGTCATAATGTATGTAAATTGAAATAATATTTTAAGATGTTTTAATATTATCTGACTGGTCATAATATCTTCCATATCTCTGGGTTTACGTTGAATCAGTTTTATTGAATGTGTCGCGTGTAGGTAGAACCGATGATTCAGGATTCAGTAATCACTCTTTCTCCTCACATAGCTATATTACATTTCAGAATCTTTACTCTATCCCACACCTGCTATTGTGTGGCTGTGTGGTAATGCAGGCATTGCGATTGCTGAGTTTTTCTCTAAATTACTTATCTTCGTGGGATCAATCATTCTGACTTTAGCCTAATTCTTATGTTGTGACAGGCACTCTGACTACTGCTGATCCACTAGTTTGACCTATGTAGTTGATCAGACAGTCATTGTTAGGTATTTAATAAATTATATGATTTCGTTAAGTTGAGTCCGACCCGTCTTTTCGCCCACAGAGATTGTTACCGAGTGAGTTTGTAGGTTTGAATGCCACTCTTACTCCTGCTTTATTGAGAATTCTACGCAGGGCCTCAGCTGTTCCCTCATTATATGGTAAATTTACTGTAGATGCCTTTCATTCTCTCTTGAATATGTTATCATAATTATCTTCATCATTGTTGTTATTTAGCTTTGACTTTTGTTGATATTCCTAATGAATTTCGTGGTGTATTTATTAACCACCAACAGCTCTTCTATCGGTTTCAATTCATCGTTTAGGTTTTAAGTTGTACTTCTTAGTGCTATTGCTCAGTTTGTTAGACATTTAATTAAACTTGCTTTCACAGATAACGGATGATATGAATTACAATCCTAATATCTATTAGAGTGTGTTGGTTGGTGGGCAGTTTATCCTCTTCTATTTGTTTCATTTTACAATGTTTGTGATTATAACCATAATTGAATGTTGAAGTGACAAAGCAAATAACATCAAACATATATAATGGTTAATAAGATGTGTATATGCTGGAAAGGGTTGTATAGTTATAGTGTTAGTATACACAATGATGACCAAAACCCCGGCTGTATATAAAATTTTATAACGGAGAAAGTGCGACGAGTTAGTATAGATTCGATAGATGATTTTAAAATCATGGCCACGGTTGACAGAATGACAAGGGGCGATAATTTCGTTGAAAAATTCTCACCGTTAACTAATATGCTCCTAATATTTCAATGGAGGTTACTTAATTTTGAAACACCAAATTATGTTGTTATTATTATGTTGATAAGCTTCTTCATCTTATTCTTCATTCAGAATCCAACATTGCTTGAATTTCACTCGTCACTTTTCCTATGTGACGGAAACGTGGACTCACACATATTCATCCGTTGAAATATGCTGCCTAACAGACTTTCTGAGACATGCTTCTCCTCAGTAGTTAATGTGATGCATGTGCTCTATTTCTGGACTGTAAACGCCGTCAGGTTAAGTCTAACTCACCTTCGGGATTCGGACTTAAATGATCTCGAATAGATAGATATACTGAAAATCATATATGTCCTATTAAATTCATTACCTTTTGTAGTGCACTGCGGTTGACACCATAGGTATTCGCTGATCACAGCATTGAATTAGGCACCCGGCAACTTCCTATTCCTTCATATCACCTTCTACACAATATTCGATCTGAATGTTCAGTGGAGAACATAAAGCATTATTTCACAAGTGACGTGGTATTGAAATACTCTGTCTAGGTGAAATTTATTACTACTTTGGAATTTTCCCTCAAGAATATTATTCTCTTCACTATTCGACCTGGTGAGCCAGGAGACGACTTAAAACAAAGAATCACGTAACAATCGACAGATTTCCAGTTGGTCCGAAAAGTGAACTCAAAACAGTTTTACATCATGGAATTCTTCGGTGAACACCCTTCATTATGAATGTCGTGAATACAAACATATGATACATGTCGCTAAATTGAATATCTATTTAAGATGATCCCTGTCTTCTACCTAACAATTCCTAATAGTTAGACGAAAAACTAGTAAATTCACCTAGTTGATCGTGTAACACAAACTGCTTTTTCAATCACACAAGTGTTGCGTCAGTTGAATAACGCACCTCAAAGAAGAAGTTGACCTTCTATTAAACCATGGAGGATAAGTGGCAGTTGTAAGCTATTCTCAGAATAAGAAAGATACTAAAGAGGGAGACATTTACCTATTTAGACGATGAAGGTATCACTAGTCATTGCCGCCATTTATTTATACACATTGTGTTAGCAATATTCTAATATTTTGGAGTTATATCATCCGCAGTTCGAAAGGTTTCATCTAGAGGTCATAATCATAACTTTCAATTAGTGAAATTACCGTTAGCATGTGATCGACAAACATTAAGATGCATAACTGACTTCCCTTGATAATATAATTAACTACACAACACATTATATCTCACGTTGCTATCAGATATCTACAGAGTGGAAATCAAAATGTTGATTATGCTATTTGGAGTGAATCCAGTACTAATTTAAACCCAGAGACGATTGCCACGCAAACAATCACCCCATACATTTAAGTTAACATCGATAAATTATGATCCTTGACATTTTTCCCATTTTTTTATGAATTTACCACATTTTATCAAATAACACCACATGGTTCAAAGTGAATTATTCTAAGGCGATGATAAAAAGTCTAAACTGATTGTTGAAATAGCGACTTCATTATGTTAAAGAAAAAAATTATTAAATTTGAAGCGTGACCTTTGGTATCAATTTTTGAACGCTTCATTACGAATTCGAAAAAAAACTTAAAATCAAAGTTTGAAAAATGCGATGGATGTATTTACACACTAGCAGTTTTCAGGTAAAGACTCTAACCTGTGGCGTGAGATGGCG